CGCCTGACCGGATAGCGATGCCCTGACATTCTAGGGTGGTATCCCTGCGGTCGATGTCTGCTTCGATAAGACGATACTGCACGGTGTGGTGCGTGATGAACGCTAAGCCACCACCATTATCTCGCTCGCGATCTCGACGGTGCACGTTGTACCCGGCGCAATTCAACAGAGTTGAATTGCTGTGCAACTTCGTCTCTTGGACCGCAGCTATTAATATACCATGCCGACACATGAAGACGGTTCTACGTACCGGAATGACTCGGGTTTCACCCGACCAAGGGCTGTTGTTTCGGCGACCTAACCCCGTTTAGGTCGGCGAAGACGGTTATCTCCTCAATCTTGCTCTGTAGCCCGTTGCAGTTAAATTGAAGGAGCTTCATGTGGTTCGGGAGACGTGTTGTTTTTGGTGTAGCAGCAGTACTCAACCCCCCGGGGTTTCGTCAAGGGTCGTCTTCGTCCTCTGACTCGACAAGCCTGAGGCCGAGAAAGCGGGTAGCGTCTATAGGAGCGGTCCATAGTGCTTCTGGTGTCAGGGTCGTGGGGTTAGAGGCGCATGCGAAGAGGTGTTGGGTGTTGTGTGGACCTTGCCCGCATGCAGGGCATGTGTCTGCCACTTCTGGGTTCAGCCGGGAGAGATAGCTGTGCTAGGGTGCACCTGGTCTCTCTTGGCAGTTCGGCTTCGTCGATGTTGATGGGCGGTCGACCACCTAGAACGATGTTGTCGTTTCTGGTGCTGAGACTCGACCTGACTGCATCGGTGTGTAGGTGGTTAAGCGCCGCTCTGTATTTCTGTGCGTCGAATGGGTGGTCTACGCACGGCTCGACGTCGGATTTCCAGTCGTGCAGGTGACGTCTGACATGTCGGAGAGGCGGTTCATTTCGTAGCAGGGCGTTATTGGGGTGATTTCCACGGTAACATCCCACGAGGAACTGCTTCGATAGCAACGTGTTGTGCTCTTTCACCGCCAGCATCTGGCTTTCTTGGTGGAGGTGTTCCTCGGACGACATGAGATGGCAACCTGTAGCCGTGCGTAGAGCTGCATTCTGGCATGTTTGTAAGTTTCTCCACTGCGTATCGCTGGTACCCGCCGTCCACTCTGGCGCTGCGTAGTTTGCCACCGACCGGCCTATTGCTTTATACGTGGTGAGCAGGGTTTCTTTGTCGGCTCCCCAAGTGCTGTCGGGAGACGTGTCGTGATGTGGGGTGTAAGGGATGTGTGTGTTCTTACCGCCGGTGGCTGTGTGCGCTGCTGTGATGGTTGCCGCCCCGTGGTGGCGGCGGGAGGCGTCGCAGTTGAGGTCTGCGACCGACCAGCGCAACACGGGCCTTCGAAGTTCCTCGTCCAATCTCGCGTGGTACGCAGACCTGAGCATGCCCTAAAGTGGCACCAGCCAAGGCAGGTGTTGCACTTGACTGATGTCACATTACGGAATATCCTGGTCTGACATACCGTGCAGATTGTAGGTGGAACCAGGTGTTGTTGGTGGGTAGTGGTGCGGTTATGTGTGTTCTGTGGTCTGTCGTGGCTGTGGTATGGTCTGTGGTGTTATTGTGTTGTTGTGCTGTGGTGACTGTGTGAGGCTGCTCAGGTGGACTGAGGTTAGCCGTGGAGGCTGCTCTGTTTGAGCAGCAGAGAGCCACGTACGACATGGTCCACTGCCGATGTGATTGTAGTCCTGAGCAGACTCTAAGGTGACTCCACCCCTCGCAGGCATTACACTTGACTGAGGTGGAGTTGTGGTGTAGTCGTCTCTGGCATACACAGCAGGTGTAGATTTCTGGCCATGGGTTTGACTCGATGCCAGCCCTGAGTAGAAGAATACGTAGCGAATCTAGCCCTATGGACGAGCAACTTCTGAGATACTTCGCCGACCTAAACGGGGTTAGATCGCCGAAACAACAAATATATATGTCTTTAGCACTGATTATGCACTTTTTTCTAAAAATGGTTATTTTAAGAAAAAATTATAACATTTTATTTTTTTTTTAATATTTTTGGCTTAAATATATAAGCAAGCAAATTATATTTCATATATCAACTTAAAGATAGATTAATGGTCTTTATTTTGATATTATTACTTTTTTAATCGGTTACGTACTTTAGAAAATATTAATATTTTAAAATATCACAAAAATTTTCTTTAACCTTTTATATCTTCTTTACTTTTTAATTGCGGCAAATAATATTTATATAGTTGATATCAGCGTAAAAAGTACTATCGGTCTGCATTTTTAGTTTTCCCATAGCTGAACGGGTAGTTATCTTGATGTGTTCCTTATCTTATAGTGAAAAATTGCAAAGCCCACTTATACAAATTTTACACGAGGAAAAAGCTTCTTATAGCTCTTTTCTTCAAGTAAATCGGTCTTTTAAGTTATAGTTTTTTAGTAAATGTAGATATACATATCTATGTATCATTATTACCATTTCTTTTAAATGCAAACATCATTTCGCATTAATTTAAAAATGTTAGTTAGTTAGTTAGTTAATTTACTGGGTGTAATAGAACAGAGACACCGCGACCTAAAAGATCTTTTGTATCTCTATAAAGGAGTCCCTAATCCAATGTGGCCAAGATACCTTCGGCTTCCCTTATGAATCCTAAAAGGGCCTTGGTAGATGAATTCCTTATAACAAAGGGTTCGACCAACGAAGATTTAAAGTAAATCAGTCTTTGTCTGGCTAAAGCCGGACAGTTACAGAGAATATGCTTCGAAGTTTCATCGGCCTCGAGGCATAGCCGGCATTCCGGCTCTGTGATCGCCCCTATTCGGTGTAAATGGAACCGCAATTGGTTGTGACCAGTCAGATACCCAGAAAGTAACCTGATGTCAATTCTGTTTTGTAGAACGATTTAAAAATAAATATGTATGAATGTTTTTGATACATTTTCTGCAGTTTTCTAAGAAAATAATTATTTGTGTTATGGGAACAGACATTGACTTTTCAACCAGACATCTGGTTACTTTGACAGCCGCCATGATACAAAAAAAAGGTAGTTTCCAGGTAGTTTCAATAAACAACTTTTTGATTAAAAAGGAGATTTTTGACAATTGCTCAATCGTAAAACATTCGAAGCGGCGTTGCCCAATTTAAGTTTTTTGGTGGAAGGGATTTTATATCCTAAATTTGGTAATATAAATAAAATAGGTGTATTAACATTTACCTTTTAAAAATAATTAATATCTTATCTTAAAAACGTTCAAATTTTACATTAAATTCGATAACAACTTTCCGAAATCTTTATTTTTACATTAATAAAATTGTAGTGAACATGTTTTAAATTTTTTTTAGTGCCATTATGCCATCTGATTATTACACAATATAGCTAGCCAGGACTATTACAGTTTTCTATATCGGATGCGATTGTTTCTGATATAATTGAGACACTGAAAATATTGTCTTTGTCTAAGTCTTTCAAGTAAATTGAAAACGGAATTTACTTTGGAACCTATAGCGTCGCCTGGGTAAAAGATTGTCGTAAGCGCCATTTTGACGATTTTTAGTTCTAGATGCAGTTATATATTTTTAAATAAGGTCTTTCGATTGGTGTTATCAGTTTTTGGAGTATACCTTTAGTTTCCGAGATATTCACTATTAATTTATTCGATAATTTAGTTAGTGATGCAGCCATATTAAACTAATCAATATCTTAAAAATGGCGTTCTGCATTTGTGGATATCGCCTTTAGTTTCCGAGATATTGAGTAAAACGTGTCGTTAATTTGGTAGAAATTTTGATCACATTTTGTCGTATTTCATACAAAGTGGCTGCCAAATTGTAGACAAATGACGCTTAAGACAAAATTTTACTAAAGAAAATCCTTCCTAAACGCAAAACTAATTAACAATTAACATTAAAAATTAAATAATTTAAGAATTTTGTGAACTAGTAACATTTTCAGAGACTTTGGAGAAAATCTATCTTCGCGTTTTTGAGAAATTGCATTCCAAACTTCAATCGCAATTTCCCACAACCTACCGAAAGTAACATACGACAATCTTTTACCGGAACGACCCAGATTTATATCTGGCCAAGGACTGTCACTCCAGCAACACTCCCCAAAAAGTCTTTGGGGAATTTGTATGCTGCTACAACAACAACAACAATCTTTTACCCAGGCGACGATAGGCCTCATGACTTTCAGAGAAGTGAGTATTATCTTTGGGTAAAAATAAATATATTTTACTGTTCAATATTGTGAAACAAAAATGATGATTTATTGTTAGTATAAATGCTAGAAACACAATTATCAACTTATTGAGCATGAGACCTCTTCCCTTTCAAAAACAAAAGGGGAAATGTTCGGTTATTTGTGCAATGGCTTTCGGGTGGGAGTGGAGACGGAGGGGGGGCCCATTGAAAAATGGGGTAAAATTACACATTACATTGACAGAGAGCATGTAAACTCGGTTTACGCCAACCACAGGATTTTTGCGCAAAATACCTTTCCACGTTGTAGGCTTTCAGCAGCGCTTAGAAAAAATAATCCTCATCAGTCCAACTCCGGCTACCCTGACCACAGTATTTTTTACAAAAACAATGACAATTAACTACCTTCTTTTTTGTATCATGAGCAAGCCTGCATTGGGCCTGCGCCTTTATTGTAAATATGGGTGCAATTTAATGTAATTTACAAGTTAATAAAAGTTGGATTGAAGTGATTTATACACAAGATAAAATAAAATAAAAGTGTATAAGCTATTAGGTAGTGTTATGTGCAATCATATATATGAAAGTATGTGACAAATGCACTCTTTGGTAAGGAAATCAAGTGGAACGACTTAAGAAATTTTAACGACAAATAACTTATAAACTATTATATTGTTCATTTTTTTAGTTATACATGTTTTAGAAGATACCTCCCTTAATCTCCTGACCAAGTTTCATTTGTTAATTCCACCTGGCTTTCTTAAAACAAAAGGTGAGGCTGAATACTAAAGCCCAACCCAATAACTAGACATTCCCCATTTTGCTTCCTGAGTATATTTTATTTACCTCTTTTGAGAATTTGAGGTCGCAGTATAACATGAATTCATTGTCATCCACCTGCCGTGCCCCTTCCTCCAAAATTTTGTCAAAACGGTCCAAAATATGCGTCCAATGATACAGTTCACACTTTCCATATGTCCAAACATTTATTGTTTCAAGAAAACGCGAGAGGTCAACCTTACTACGACACTTGCTTAACTGATCTATAAGCAACCTGCATTCAGGAGTGAGCTCCGAAGAACTCTTTTTTAGTTTGCTTGTATCAACCTTCATGGTAATATTTGCATAACTTCTTTAAACCAATATCATCACAAAGCACGAAAATGTTTTTATTTCGCATATAAGGTGAATATTACAATCACTGGCTACTATAAGAACGATGGTATATACTTTTTAAGCAAATTTTATGAATTCTCACGGAATAACTTCAGACCACCGTAATCCGTACCATACAAAAAAAATAATAATAAAGCGCTGCCACCTTTCATGACATGATAAGATTTTAACTTGGTTTTGCCCGGCAGTACTGCAATTTTCGCCAAACGCAATTAATAACATAAAGTGCACACGCTAATTTACCTTGTTTTGCCATACCTAAAGAATAGGGACCCTTGAAATAGAGAAAAAAGAAAATGTGGACGTGGTGTACCCCTTTTTGCTGAGTTTAGTTGTAAACTTTTTTTGGTGTAAATTGACAGGGGCGGCGCTAGGGGGGGCCAAACGTGGAATTTCCAACATTTTCAAAAGCTTATATTTTGAAAACTATTGAACCGATTTTCAATACATGGACACAGTTGGAAAGGTAATTGAAGGACCATTCATTCAATATTAACATCTACGTATATAATGCAAACATATTTTGAGAAAAGGTAAAAAAACGAAATTATGGCATTTTTTTATAAAAATGTATGTTTTTCGTAAAAAAATACGTAATTAACTATATTAAAAAATATATTTATCGGAAAGACCATAAAAATACCTTTAATTTGACGTATAATTTTATATAGTTTGATTTAAGTACAACTGCTAGCAGTGCAATAAAACAACTGTATTAATGTTATATGTTCTCTGCAAAAGGTGTTCAGCCCCTTTAATTTGGCAACACAGAAATAATAATTCTACGTAGTGAGAGTTATACTGCCTAAGCGCGGCCGAAGGCCGCCTACGCAAAAAGGTGTTCTCTGCAAAAGGTTTTCTGACCCTTTTCTTTGGCAACACAGAAATGAGAATTCTATGTTGTGAGGAAGGCCGCCTACGCAAAAAGGTGTTCTCTGCAAAAGGTGTTCTGCCGCTTTTCTTTGGCAACACAGAAAGGAGTATTCTACGTTGTGAGGAATATAATCCCTACGCAGAAAGGTTTTCTCTGTAAAAGGTGTTCAGCCCCTTTTATTTGGCAACACAGAAAGAAGAATTCTACGTAGTGAGGGTTATAATCCCTAAGCGCGGCCGAAGGCCGCCTACGCAAAAAGGTGTTCTCTGCAACAGGTGTCCTGACCCTTTGATTTGGCAACACAGAAAGAAGAATTCTACGTAGTGAGGGTTATAATCCCTAAGCGCGGCCGAAGGCCGCCTACGCAGAAAGGAATTCTACGCAAAAATACTGTGGATAGCGTAGCTTGATTAATTATCCATTTAATTCTACAACTCAATCTTATAACAAATAAGGTGATTAAAAAAAATGGTTT